ACCGTCTGCCAGGTGCCCTGGAAAACCTAATTAGACACAGGGGGTGAACATTTTACTTTCACTCAAGATAATATTCCTCCTGGATAAATCACTCTGGGACCCTGAAAAATAATAGTGTTTGACCAGCTTGATTTTAAAAGGACTAAAGGAGCCTTCAGATTGTTTGGCTTTATTTGATACTTTAACACAAGGTACAATCTACATGATATATGGTTGGAAAATCTTTTCTTCTCTTGAGGGCAATTTTTACTTTAAACAAGTGCTTGACCCAAATTAGAGTGCAGCTATGTAACCTTTCCCAATTTTCTGTAGTTCCTTTGATATGATGAGAATCAATTTTCCCTCCTCCCTCCTTGTAAGATGAATGTTTTAAAGATGATACTGTTCTTTAGCAAGAACAGGACACGTGATCTGAAAAGCTAGCTTATGTCTCTATTTGCCCAAATCTTCCTGTGTATTCATTTCATGTGGGTCTCTTCTGTATGAGTGGTGCTTAGTGGTAGGTGGTCACACAGACACTCTAATCAAGTCACTGTGTCTGATTTGGACCCATCCTTCCCTTGTGTGGTTACAGACCCTGGTTAGCAGATCCTGACCTCTCTGGCCCTGCCCAGCTGTGGACAGAGTCAGCCCCTTTATTTAGGCGTGGCCCTCCCCAGCATCTGATCTGGTGCTGAACAGATCAAAGAACACATGGGAAGTCTCTTCTCCAACAATGAACAGGGTCCAAGTTAGATATGTTTATGCAGTCTGATGTTCTGTGTGATCTGTGTAAGTGCACTGCTACAGCTCCCTGGGGGTCTCAGCCTTTCCCTAAGCCCTGCCTTACTAGTCTGGTTTCAGGTTTTGGTTTAGTATCTCAGTTCCCCTACAGGGACTGGAAGCCCAGTTCAACTCTAGCTTCTTGGCTGAGACTCTTACTTTCTCTAGTCTCTGCTGATTGTCTCCATGAGGAGCCTGGACTCTGTCCTCAGCATCACCCAGCTCAGAGCTCAATGAATTGATGTCCACCTCCTGTGTGCACTGCACTGAATGATGATGTTTTCATCCCAACTATCTTCAAAAATTGCTTGGCACCCATGTTTGAGCCTTTAAACTGCATCAAAGAGAACTGACTTAGATCACGTCCAAGCTCACCCACACTCAGATAACTCTGTTGGGCTGGTGGATGGCCCTCATCTCTTCACCTCTTCAGGCTGACCACACATGGTCTGCCTTTCTTTCTCTTTTCAAACTCTGACAACCCAGTGTACCTGGAGGGCAACCCTTCCTAGAATTACTGATTCTTCAGTATTTTGTGTGTGTGTGTGTGTGTGTGTGTGTGCATGCTTCTGAACTTGCCTCAGCGTCTAGCATGAGATCAGCCATGGACTGGCTGGTGTTGATGATGGAGAAAGGGTAAGAAATGCAAGAAATGATTTTATCTAGAAAGCATCACAGAGCTAAGAAAAGTAGGTTCTTATCTCATGCCTTCTACTTAATAATTAGGACCCCTAGCGTCTGGTGAATCGGTCCCCCACTTGCAGAGCTGGCCTCATGAGCAGCAAATGTGATACTTACGTAATTGCCTCACCATGTCTGGAGAGAGTGACAGTCACGATGATTTTGTTCTGTAGTGCTGTTCAGGCAATACTATATCATGAGTATATTATGAGTTGAGAGGTCTTCACTGGAGACATAAGGAACACTGTCTCTCAAGTTCCACCAATTGACTTACCAAGCAAGTCACTTATGTGCAGGGACTCTGTGCTGGGCATCGCAGGTAGGCAGCTGACTGACCTAAATCACTCATCAGCTGAGTCATGCCCCAGCTGCTGAGCAGTTCCACAGGGATATTTGATACTGTTTTCCCACTTACGTGATCTGTGCAGATTTTGTTCTGGTTGATTATTCTATTTTTATTTCTTCTCTGCTCCCAGAGAAATTTCACTGCCTTGTAGGCATGAGTAAAACTCATAAGCCGTATATTGTGAAGCAGATATAGCCTGCTTTCAACTCTTTCCTCTCCAATATTCTCCTGCAGCAGCCAGAGGAACTTCACGTTCCTCTGAGTTACCACTGCACTCACTCAGTAGTTTACATTGTGCAGGATCTTCCCTGTGCATTATTCATCTTTGGGTTCTTAGTGCCTGGTACGGTGGCTGGAACAATATGAATACTCAGTAGATGTCTGTTGAATGAATAAATGAATGAATGTTCTACTTTTAAAATAAGATTTTTATTTTTAGATCTGCTATAGATTTATAGAAAAACTGAGAAGATGGTTCAGAAAGACCATATACCAGCACTCAGTTTCTGCTATTATCTTATAATAATGTTATATTTGTTACACTTAATGAAGCAATATCAATATATAATTATTAGTTAAAGTGCATACTTTATTCAGATGTCTTTAGCTTCTATCTAATGTCCTTTTTCTATTCTAGGATCCCACTCAGAACACCACCACATTACAGTCACTTGCCATGTCTCCTATTAGGCCCCTCTCAACTCTGACGGTTTCTCAGATTTTCCTTGTTTTTTATGACCTGGAGGGTTTTGGGGAGTATCTGGTTTTGTGGTTCCTCTTCTGTTTCACTTGTGATTACTCTAGGGTCATGGGATTTTGAGTGGAAGACCACAGAGCTAAGTACCATTTTTACCACCACATCACATTAACACATCATGACAACACACTGTCAACATGACTTATCACTTGATGCTCACCCTGATAATCTGTCTGAGACAGTGTTTGTCAGTTTCTTCCATGGTAAAGTTACTCTTTCAATCCTTATCTTTTCATACTGTGCTCTTTAAAAGGAAGTCACTATGTGTAGCTCACACTTAAGAGGTGAGGAGCTATGGTGTGCCTCTTTGAGGGTAAGAGTACATCTGAAGGAATTTGGAATTTTCCTGCATGGGAGCATTATTTATTATCTCCATTTCTTTCTTTATTCAGTAATTTGCTTGAATTATGTGGTTTTACGGGCATTTTCCACCTTGAGTAATAATCCAATCTATTTTATTTTTCACAATTAGATTGGACATTCTTAGGAAAGTAGAACTGATTCTTGCTTCTGTCTCTCTAATTGCCTGACACACACAAGGTGACCCCAGGATAGACACTTGTTAGTTAATAGAACTAAAATAAGAATTGAGCTCCCAATGTCTGTAACAATATCCCAAAGCAGCCTAACTGGTCTTTTGATATTATCTTACTGTATTTAACTGCCATTTTGAAAAAAAAAATGTCAGAAATGGAAAGATCCTTAGAAATAAGTTAATCCAACACTCTCATTTACAGATGGTGAAATTTAGGACTGGAGAGAAAATTTATGGACCCACATGTGGGAGGAGAACCTACTTTTCCTAACTTTCAGCGTGGTGCTCTTTAGACATACTGCGTATGGTAGCACCTACTAGAGCGTCTGATGTTCTAATGTATTCAATGCAGGTTGGTTGAATTTGTATCTGTAGGCAAAAATGAGCGATCAAAGAGATTTTTCTCTGTTCTGTTTTTGTTTTGCAAAGTGAATTTTTACTTTTAACTGATCTGTGAGGCAGCAGTGCAAGAAAGAGTGGGAGTGGGGATAAGAATGATGATGAGGTGATAAGTTATTAAAGTAGACGAAGTGAGTGATGCTAAAGGCCTGTGCCAAACCATCAGCAGAGGAAAGAGAAGAGGAGATATATTGAGAGGCATTTTAGAAGCAGGAATGGTGTAATCTGTTACCAGTTAATATGGAGGGTGAGAAAGAAAGAGATGTTGATAGTGACTCTAGGGTCCCTGGCTTGGGCAATCAGATGGAAAGTGCTGTCACTAATCAAGACACAGCAGGTTTGGAGGGGAAGATGAACTTGTTAGGTGTGAGATAGCCGTTTGACTTTTCGCACTTCTAGTGGGTAAAAGGAAACGTGTGGAGCTTAGAAGAGAAATTAAAGCCCAAGGTATTGATATAAGAAGAGTTACTGTTGATGGACCGATGAAGCCATTTGAGGCAATGATGTCACCTAAGAAAAGCAGAGAAAAGATGGGACTGACACCTGAGTTCAGTAGGGACAGAAGATAGAAGAGGCAGTAGGGAGTAAGAAGAAACCATCAGAGAACCAAGTGTGGAGGTGTGTGGGTTAGCTAGGTAAAAAGGGACGGTGAGTTGGTTAAATTCTGGGGTGAGATCAAATCAGATGAGGGTTTAAAGGAAGCTGTTGTGAATGACAGTAATCAGGTCATGGATGACCTTAGCAAGAGTCGTTCCAGTGGAGAGGTGGAGGGCTTTATGTAAAAGGACAGACACTGTAGAAATAGGGGGCTAGATCAAACCCAGCATTTTCATTATGATTCTTCCTGGATTAAACTACCTTCATTTTCAAAGATTACAGAAAACTACATGAGAAAGGATTTAAGTTAAGTAAGAAGACTGTCTTGTTTTTGTTGTTGTTTTTTTGGTTTGTTTTGTAGGGGGCAGATAATTAGGTTTTATTTTTGGAAGAGGTACTGGGGATTGAACCCCAGACTCACGCAGCTAAGCATATATTTTACCACTTGAGCTATATATACCCTCCCCCCTTAATTGTTTTTATCAGACATAGGAATAGGTTAATGGGGTTTTTGAACCTCTCATTTGGGAGAGTTTCAAGAGTAAAGATGTGGCTATTTTAAACTGGTATAAGTTAGTCTTGCACAAATGAAGAATGCCTCTAAATTCCCCTTTAGGCCTTTGGCTCTTATTCCATAAGGCTGAACATGCAAAACTTCAAGGAAAGAGTTTCAAGTTTTGCAGTGTACTTAGAGGATAAATTTGCCCTGTCTGAAAATATTGAATTTGCTAACTAGTTGATTTATTCAGAGGTCTCTGAATATTTTAGTATGCAATCAATTGTACTTTTAATAAACCATAAACCATGTTTACTGCCTTATTTATTGAATTTAATCAAAATGACTTGGTGGCTAACTCGTATAGTGCTCTTGACAGGCCTCAGACATGGGGTCTAATTACTGGAGACAATAATACAGCAAGATAATAAGATGATTTTATTCTTGAAAAGTGGAACAAAACAGGGCCAAGCAGACAATTTTTCGTTTGTTCGGGGGCAGAGCTGGCCTGGAAGACGGGAGGCCAACATTGTGAGAGCTTTCCCGTGGCTCTTCTGGTCTTTTAGCAGGTGCAAGTGACACAAGATCCCTATTAAAGAACAGCCTTCCCAGCTCCTCACAGCCTCACTGCTGTGTTTGCCCAGAGGTGTAAATAGATTCAAAGGTCATCTGCCTCTTAACATCCCACTTCTCTCCTTTTGGGGCCATTTCAGTTGAAGTTACAGGCATTAAGACGAGGCAGCTCCCCAGCTGACCTGAGAAAATCAAAAGAGCCCTTCTACTCCCTACAGAGCCTTTCACAGTCCTCTGAGTCTGAACACTCCAAATGATTTGATTATGTTTGGTTATAGTTGCAATATTGATGGGAGTCAGAGATGGCCTGGAAGGGTTGAACTGTGCTTTATGTCTCCTTGTAGTCACATAGATCAGAGTGTGTTATGTCCACATCACCTGCAGGGAAGAATCGCCGTCATCTTTCTAAAAACAAAATGTGCTGTGAAAACTTTTATAGACCTAAAGAGAGCTTTGAAAAAACGAGCTGGCACCATAATAATTTGGTTTTCATGAAGCAGTTTCCTTTGGTGAATAAATAGCCCTGTGTTTACACACAGAATGGAGATCATTGAAAATCCCTCTTTGGCTTTGACAAGTTCACTGAAAAATTGACAAGAGAAGCATTTATTTTAGATAGTGCTGGCCAATCCAATAAAGATCCTGCTGAACTAAATTTTAAGGTTTTATTTCAAATACAATATGGACCTACAGACTGGGGAAGGGAAGTTGTTTTCAGTACTTTTTAATATTTACACATCAAATGCCCATAGATGAATTGCTTTCTGAAATATATGAGCTTTGGGTTAGAGAGGACGCTAGCATGAAGGATCAGGTTGGTACTGGGTGGAGATCCCATTTTGTACTTGTTGTGAGCCCATCAGTAGCAGGGGAAATACACACCCTGGTGAACACCTGGCTCTGTTCTACTCCCACACTGCAAACACGCAATTCCACGTTCTAGAAAGAAGTTCAGTGAAGAGAAGCCATGTACTCTAGAGTGCGATAATTAAGTGACTCACAGCTTCTCCTTTTCTAGGAACTTAACCATATGTCTCATACCCACATCACTCACTCTCTCTGGAGAAGGAGTAGAAGACATAATGTGCCTCTGAACCTTGAGGTTTTCTATGAAAGTGTGAAACCGCCTCTCAGTCCAGACAGGCCTCTGTCTGCCTTTGGTGTGAATAGGAAAGGGAGACACAGGCAATATAACCCTGGGAAAAATTAAGGCTACCCCCCCTCCAAAAAAATGTAGCGCTTTGCTAGATCTATACTTTCTGAGGAAAAGTAGAAGGATAAAATGGAAATGACTTTTATGTCATTTGATTCTGAAAACACATTTTATTTATGTTTACTAACTTCTGTAATAATACAATAACTTTGACATGACAGTTATATCGAATAGAAGCAAATGTGATTTAACTGAAATGGCACTGCACTAGCTTTGAACAAAGCAAACATTTGACAAAAGATAGAGGAAAGAGAAAATCCGTTTTTGTTGTCCCACATAAATCATAGCACATGGGAAACAGAAAATGCCTTTAGCAAGAAAAGTAATGAACTAATAAATGAAAAACAAATCCTCATCGAATTGCAAGATCTTTTATGAATACAAGTAGTCCAAAACAGGAATTATATTTAAACTCTTCTTACTTCCTACAGTGCCTAACCTTTGGTGTGTATTCAATAAATACTTTTTCAATAAATAAAATGCATTCCAAAGTCTTAATGATGGTTTACTTGCTTAGGTGAATTTTTTCAGAACAAATTCCTTTCACTTGCCAGAAGGGCGATTGGGAATGAGATTACAGGGTGCAATGGAACTGAGGTCAAACAAGGAGAGAGGGTCGGGGCAGTGATTGTACAGGACGCAAGGTGTTCTAGGAGGTTTGTTTTCTTGGTGACGGGGCTCAGGTCCAAGAACCTCACGGTGTGAAACCAGAGAACCCTCAAAACCTGAGGCCCAGCAGCTCCAGCACACAGATGGTCCTTTGCACCCATTTCATCCTGAAGAGCCCTCTTCAATCCCTGAGCTTTCTGATGGGAAAATCAGATTTGGCATCCTGCCCAATTACCAACCCTGAAAACAACTGAACTTCAGCACTGGCTTGGGAAAAATAAGATTTCAAGGTCAAGGGGGAGTTTTCCAGCATGGTCCCCCAAACCATTAGCAATTTAAAAAAAAAAAACCTTTTCTCTGGCATTTAACTTTTATTGACTTTTATTCAACAGGACTTCATGAAAGTTAAAGATCCGGTAAAAACAAATTTGCCTGGGTGGAGTGAAAGCTGTGTTGTTCCGTTGCAGCCATGTGCATAAATGTTGCTTACGAGATGGTCTGCAGGTGTTATAAGGCAGGGTGTAAAAACACCTGAGGAGCTTTGAATTCGAGGAGTGGAGGAAGAACTCTGCGGGCTCCGAAAATCTGAAGCCTTCAAAGTTTTGCCCAAATCTCACTCAGAAGATAAGACAAATGAGGAGGAGGCGTTTATGGATCGTAGAGGCAGCAAAACAGAGCTTGTATGCTACACTACACTCATGTGTCCGGATTTCTCAAAATCTCTGCTGCATTCACCAAGAGACAAGAGTGTGCTTTATTCTCCAGGTAGGTGCTTGTAAAAGAGAGAAAAGGCTCTTCATGTCTGTCTTCTGGCTACAGCCTCCCCTTCCGCGTTCCTTCTTTCCCCCTTTCTCTCCCTGTATCCTTTCCTGACTTTCATCCATTCCTAAACATTTTCCAAGAACCTACTGCGAAGATGTTAGATAGTCTGAGATATATAGGACACAATCCCTGCCTTCATGGAAATAATGATGCAAATGAACATTCAAATGAGGCCTGAATGTGTTATGCTCTTCATCTGCAGTGGGCTTGTAAAGGGAGCAGTTGAGGGAGTGGGAACACCTGCTGAAAGAGCTCTAACCTGAAGGATGGGCATAGGGACAGAGCAGGCAAGGGAGCAGCTGGACATTTTGTGTGTACAGGGTAGGGTATTCTTAACAAAGAAATGAAAAGAACCGCTAAGTTCATGACTCTGGCATCCTATATGGACTAGGAAGGCTTATGCTGAATATATTTCAAAGGAAAGAAATTCAATGTACAAGAGGAGACGCTAACTTTGTGTTGGGGCTTTGCAAATTTCATCTTCATTTTTTCAGCTGGTCCTCACAGTAACCCTAAGGCACACATTTTCCATATTTCTTTTCAGTTGTAGAAACTGAGGCTTAGGGAGAGATTCACACATTGTCTGAATTAAACTGTGACTGTAAACATACAGATCTCTCCCTCACATTTCTTTGGGATTAGAGAGGTTACAAAAGATGATAGGGGAACTTCAAAAACAGAAACAACCCCAAACCCAAATGAGATTAGACAAGGATCTCTTTTGTGTATCATCTCACAATGCTAGGACTATGATAGAAGTTCCTTTCTTATTTCGAGTGCTCTCTTGCTCACAACAAATCCCATTATAATAAAAGTTAGGCACTTCAGCACTATATATAAAAATGGATTTTAAAAAGTTTCTTTTGTATAGCACAG